TGATGCTGCTTGGCCTGCTGTGTTCATCCAGCTCTACATCTTGTTATCCCTTAACCTAAGTGTTCGTTTGGGGATACAATTCACTTCAGGATCCTTTGATTGGAAGAGGGAATAGTAACCAGACTGAGTGGTGAATGTGGGTACAATTATAATGTTTAAAAGACATTTGGATAAGTACATCAATAGGAAAGGTTTGGAGGGATATGGGCCAGGAGCAGGCAGCTGGGACTAGTTTAGTTTGGGATTATGGTCAGCATGGACTGATTGGACTGAAGGGTCTGTTTCTATGCTCTAGGTCTCTGTGACTCTGTGATAAAGCTGTTGCAACAATCAGATCTTTAGCTGTGAGTAGAAATTTTCATTTGAACGGAGAATGTTAAGAAGAGCTCTGACAATAAGATTGCAAAGTGCTGAACTTTGCTGATTTAAAGATGAATAAAGTGAAATAAATAAAGGACTGGAATTTAAGACCCTTCACCCAAAGTATTAGAAGAGAGAGGTTGAAGAAAGGATTTAAAAATAAATTGGGACAAAATTTGAACAAGAAAAATAGAAACAGGAAAGGTGAAAATAGTGTTGATTGTTAATTAAATGGATTGCTATTCAGAGAGCTGGCATGGGGCAGGGGCTGAATGGTCATCTTCTCTATCAGAAAGTTCAACAATTCTAGCTGCTGTGAATCAGTGCGGTCTGGATTACGTTTGACTGTAATTATTACCAACTCAAACCCCCATGATCAGAAAACTCATCAACAAGAGTAAGCCTTGGATGGTAACAGTAGCCTTTGAAACAAAATATCACAGGGCATTCATCAACCAGCAAAGCATTAATGTTACTGTTAGCCAATAAAGCCAGCAAATCTCTCTGTGTATCAGGAGGTCTGCTGAAGCCTTTGGTGTTTGAGGAAAGATAAAGAAGTAGATCAGAATGTGGATCAAAGTTTTTAATTAGTAGGCAAGCAACCCTCTCACTCCTAATCAACTGCAGGCTATTTTATAAGGACATAAGAACTAGGAACGGAAGTAGGCAATTTAGCTCTGTGAGCTTGCTCAAGCAGGCTGATCTTTCAGTAGGTTAGCTGCGCCCTTTAAACAGCAGTCACATCACAACGAGGCTGGCTTTTTGTTTCTATTTTTGGACATTGAAATTGAAAGTTAAATTTTGACACTGTGTGAAATCGAAGTGGATCTCACTCTTATAAAGAAATCTGCTTTAACGGCTACATTTTCAATTACTGACACAACTCAGACCAGTTGATCAATTGGTGAGTTTGCTGACATTTTATGTGTTGAATATTTCAGATTGTTTATTATTGTCAAAAAGCTGTCGCCACTGCAGGCTAATTCGACTACTTCCTGATTATTTACATAATTGTACATGCTAGGTGCATATGTTTTACAAGTCAATAAATGGGTATCATTTTCTAATCTGTATTTTAAATGCAGCACACTTGCTGATTTAGTGGATAAGTGCTCTGGCAAGGAGTTTGACAAACCAGGACATATCAGGTATAATTCCTGGCTTGTTTTAATGAGCTCATCTAATTAGTGGTGGCTACATTCAACCAAAGGGTCCTGACCACGCAGAGCAATTGACTTCTTTAATAAAAGCAAGATGCTGAGGATGCTGGATATCAGAAAAAAACACACAGAGAATGCCAGAGGACCTCAGTAGTTCTGGCTCTATTTATGGAGAGAGACAGAGTTAATGTTTTGAGTCATAGAGTCAAAGAGTCATATAGCACGGAAACAGCCTCTTCGTTCAAACTAATCCATGCTGACCATGAGGAGATAGTAGGAACTGCTGATGCTGGAGAATCAGAGATAACAAGGTGTAGAGCTGGATGAACACATCAGGCCAAGCAGCACCAGAGGAGCAGGAAAGCTGACATTTAGGGTCTGAAATTTTCTGAAGAAGCGTCCAGACCCGAAATGTCAGCTTTCCTGCTCCTCTGAT